AAGGGCCTGGCATGTAATTCATCAAAAACTTCAAGAATATGTTGAATTACATGCATAAATCCATATCTTTTCTTCCAGGGCAAGGAAGTTATATTTTCCACAGTAAAGTACTTCAAAAAGTTGAAGGCTTGAAATTCACCCATAGAACTCCCAGTTACATAAAACAAATCAACAGAATCTTTTGATGTAATCAGCAACGGCTTCATTAACAACACAAAGAAAAGAGGGAGCTCGTCAACGTCAACTTGTGCTATGAAGGCCAGCACTGCCCTTCGATTATGCATGCTCGCATGCTGATAAGAAATGGCAGAGCACCATTGAGAAACATAGATATGTTAATTAACGATATGATTACAGGAAAAAAACCATAGATAAATATACATTCCGAGAAAACAATACGAAAATGTAAAAGATATAAAAAGAACAGTACTTTTTAGTTCTTTTAAATACTCCTTCCAAAAATGTGTGGGAAGGTAAAAGATAAACTGAAATAGTATACTTTAATTCTTGCAGATATACCTTTCGAGAAGCAAGTGTCTTCAATTTTCTGATCTTTGGCATTAGGAGGCGAATAACGAGAGGTACAAGATGGGCTCTGTGGCCTTCTTCAACCTGGCAAGATTCCCTGGATAAACTCCAAGTTGTGATTTCTTCTCTGAGAGGTTTTGGATTGATCAAATTATTCAAATGTTGATCATATGGAACTAAGAAATTGTCCTTCCACATCAGCAGGCACTCAAGGACCAACATCTGTATTTCAGCATCACTGTCATCCAGAAGCCTGATAAAAACATCCAAAGGCAAATCGATATTTCTTAAATAGTTACGAGCTAAGATCCGGAGTTGAAATAGCTGAACATCCTAAGCATAAAAACAACAAATCACTTAACATTTATTGTCATCTAAAGATACCTGTTTTGCAGAACATCTTTTACAAATAGACTAGAATTAAAGGACTTGACATTCCGCATATGCTTCAACAAATTTAACCATTCCTTAAAAACACCCTTCCACCCTTTTCCTCTACAAGCATGAGAGTTGAAAGATCCTACACTGCAACCTCTAATGAAAGCAAACATCCCAAACAGTTGTAAGTTTGCTGAAACTTTCATTTGTTTGCATAAATTCAAAGAGCAGTTGGTGAAGAAGATGACTACCTGAGATCATTAGCATTGTATCCCAAAAACTTCAGAGAGAGGAATTTATTTGTGCACACTTTGACTCAGCACTAAAGGAACCTTTTGTAAAGATTGGA